CAACATTTGTGCAAAATATCAAAATCTTTAATATGATATCAAAAAAAATGTGCTGACTCATCAAATTAAGGGCTGAAAGGGGCCAGAAGTTTTTATTCAATAACTCTTTATCAGTCAATATTTTGTTATACATTACTGAAGCAAAAATGTTTATCTGAACCATCTACAACTATTTATTATGGTTTTTATGTCGTATGGTACATAATTAGGGGCCACAAGGGGCCAGAATGCTAAATCTTTGATGCTTTATATCTCGAAAGGGAGAAATATTTTGATAAGCAATATTGAACAAAAGTTGTTCAAAATAATGTTCTGAACAGTATGCAACCTTTCATTTTTTGCTAAACGTCCCCATTAAGGAGTTGAAGGGTTGGCCCCTAAATATGTCTTTTGCTAATAGATCAAAAACGAAAAAGAATTTCTGAACAGTTGTTGAACACAAAATGTTCAAAATCTTAAGATCTTTAAGATGAGATCCCGAAAAGGGGGCTGGGCACTCGAATTAGGGGCCTAGAGGGGCCAAACGTCTTCAATCGATAACTCTTTATCAGTTAATATTTTGTAATACATTACTGAAGCAAAGATGTTTATCTCCACCATCTTCAACTATATATTACGGTTTTTATGTCGTATGGTACATAATTAGGGGCCACAAGGGGCCAGAATGCTAAATCTTTGATGCTTTATATATCTCGAAAGGGAGAAATATTTTGATAAGCAATATTGAACAAAAGTTGTTCAAAATAATGTTCTGAACAGTATGCAACCTTTCATTTTTTGCTAAACGTCCCCATTAAGGAGTTGAAGGGTTGGCCCCTAAATATTTCTTTTGCTAATAGCTCAAAAACGAAAAAGAATTTCTGAATAGTTGTTGAACACAAAATGTTCAAAATCATAAGATCTTTAAGATGAGATCCCAAAATAGGGGCTGGGCACTCGAATTAGGGGCAATAGGGGCCAAAAGTCTTCAATCGATAACTCTTTATCAGTTAATATTTTGTAATACATTACTGAAGCAAAGATGTTTATCTCAACCATCTACAACTATATATTATAGTTTTTATGTCGTATGGTACATAATTAGGGGCCACAAGGGGCCAGAATGCTAAATCTTTGATGCTTTATATCTCGAAAGGGAGAAATATTTTGATAAGCAAAATTGAACAAAAGTTGTTCAAAATAATGTTCTGAACAGTATGCAACCTTTCATTTTTTGCTAAACGTCCCCATTAAGGAGTTGAAGGGTTGGCCCCTAAATATTTCTTTTGCTAATAGCTCAAAAACGAAAAAGAATTTCTGAGCAGTTGTTGATCACCAAATGTTCAAAATCTTAAGATCTTTAAGATGAGATCCCGAAATAGGGACTGGGCACTCGAATTAGGGGCAATAGGGGCCAAAAGTCTTCAATCGATAACTCTTTATCAGTTAATATTTTGTAATACATTACTGAAGCAAAGATGTTTATCTCAACCATCTACAACTATATATTATAGTTTTTATGTCGTATGGTACATAATTAGGGACCACAAGGGGCCAGAATGCTAAATTTTTGATGCTTTATATCTCGAAAGGAGAAATATTTTGATAAGCAATATTGAACAAAAGTTGCTCAAAATAATGTTCTAAACAGTATGCAACCTTGCATTTTTTGCTAAACGTCCCCATTAAGGAGTTGAAGGGTTGGCCCCTAAATATTTCATTTGCTAATAGCTCAAAAACGAAAAAGAATTTCTGAACAGTTGTTGAACACAAAATGTTCAAAATCTTAAGATCTTTAAGATGATATGGATAAAAAGGGCTGATTCCTAAAATTAGGGGTCGTTAGGGGTAAAAGGCCGATTTTTTTAAGTCTTTAATGTAAAATATCTTTTTGCAGATTGTGGTAAATCATTATTTTAGAGTGAAAATCGCAATCAAAATCTTATCTCATCTCATCAAGAATTGGACGGAAGACCCACTCGTTGCTCGCAACGAGATCGTATCTAGTTATTATTATTATTCTTTTTTTCATAGTTAGGGCGATATCTCAGCTGTGTGTGGACGGATTTCAAAGATTTTTACAGGGATGATGCATCATAAGAATATCTCCAGATGTGTTTTTCATTTATTCGAAATTCAATTTCATTCGCGATCTTTATGCAATTGACCAAATGCTTCAATAACAAGGTCAGATCTTGGAAAGTTCACAAAGTTTGGATGCCATTCTATCATGTCTATCAGGAACATTATTTATACACGTCTCTGGTTCTATCAAACTTTGTACAGCATGCCGCCATAACATTACGCTATCCAAGTCTATGCGACGCTTTGTAAAGTGTATTGAAGTTGAGTATTGTAAATCACTTTTTATTCGCGAGAACTTTAATTACGTGAGATATCATGGTCACCAAAATTTCATTTTCGTGTAAAATAGAATTCCCTAAGATTATATAGAGCAATAACCATGATTCGTGAAAATTTTGTCTTGCTAATAAAGATTTAATGACTTTTTCGCGAAATTAAACTGTCACAATTGAAAAATTAAATGATCTATAGTATAATTATGTCTTCAAAGATTTTTTGATAGAGAATCTTTACAAATGAAATCTGGATCCCGATCTTAAAAATGGACGTTTCCATCCAAAATTTTCACAGTCACGCAAATGCAAGTGTGTTTTCATTTTAGTCGAAAATTCAATTTTATGGTCGCAAATGCGACCATTTCAGTTGCAACTTGTTATTATGCCTTTTCCTTTTTTTGCCTTTCCTTTAAATTTGTTTATTACGAAGAATTGTCGCAGACAGTATTCTCCAATAAATCATGAACATCAGAAAAAAAATTATCAATTCAGAAACAGTTGGCCCTAAGAAAAAATATGTTCTAATAGCAGGGACCTACAACATGATAACACAACTAACACAACTCCTTCATTGCCATGTTTTTAGCTCACCTGAGCCAAAGGCTCAAGTGAGCTTTTCTGATCAAAATTTGTCCGTTGTCTGTCGGCGTTGTTGTCGTCGTTGTTGTCGGCGTTGTTGTCGTCGTTGTTGTCGTCGTAAACTTTTCACATTTTCATCTTCTTCTCAAGAACCACTGGGCCAATTTCAACCAAACTTGGCACAAAGTATCCCTGGGTGAAGGGGATTCAAGATTGTTCAAATGAAGGGCCAGGCCCTTTTCCAAGGGGAGATAATTATGAATTAGAGAAAAATTAATGGCATTTTTAAAAAATCTTCTTCTCAAGAACCACTGAGCCAGGAAAGATGAAACTCATGTGGAATCATCCTCAGGTAGTGTAGATTCAAGTTTGTTCAAATCATGACCCCCGGGGGTAGGGTGGGGCCAAAATGGCCGATCAAAGTTTTACATAGGAATATATAGGAAAAATCTTTAAAAATCTTCTTCTCAAGTACCACTGGGCCAGGAAAGATGAAACTCATGTGGGATCATCCTCAGGTAGTGTAGATTCAAGTTTGTTCAAATCATGACCCCCAGGGGTAGGGTGGGGCCAAAATGGCCAATCAAAGTTTTACATAGGAATATATAGGAAAAAACTTTAAAAATCTTCTTCTCAAGAACCACTGGGCCAGTAAAGATGAAACTCATGTGGAATCATCCTCAGGTAGTGTAGATTCAAGTTTGTTCAAATCATGACCCCCGGGGGTAGGGTGGGGCCAAAATGGCCGATCAAAGTTTTACATAGGAACATATAGGGAAACCCTTTAAAATCTTCTTTTCAAGTACTTCACAGCCAGGCTGTGTTATATTTACAGGGAATCATCCTCAGGTAGTGTAGATTCAAGTTTGTTCAAATCATGACTTCTTGGGGGGGGGGGGATGTAAAATTCAAGTGCCCCCCCCCCCCCAGTTTACTTTCAGTTCTGATCTGATCTGTGTTATTTCCTAGCCAATTGCTCAGGTGAGCGATGTGGCCCCTGGGCCTCTTGTTTATGGTCCTACTAAACAAGAGTATGCTAGTAATATAGAGTACTTTGAATAGTATGCTGGTACAATTTATAATTTAATGCAATTAAACTGCCTTCTTTAACTTCTTAGCATAAATTACTGTAGACGTCTTTAATTTCACGTGTCTAAAATTTCACGGTTTGTGAGAAAGTAACCTTTCACGGTGGTTTTAATTTCATGGAGAATAGTTTGTAAATATTCAGGTACTAAGACTGTTTCTAGGTAGAATTAAATGACGTGAAATAATAATCACGATGGTTTAAAGTTCGCGGAAAATTCTTAAATCGTGAACATAGTGAAATTAAAAACACCGTAATGTTTTCCACTTCTACAGTAACTGTATTGCAGTATGCTTATGTAAATCGCTCAGTATTAAACCAAACCAGAAGCTGCTTACCATGTTATACTTTTTTTCATTTTAAAGGGCTCCACCAGTACTTGCTTAAACTTAAATAGTGAAAAGATGATCATGAAAGAGACAAATTCTGAAAATTTATCAAAATCCCATAGGCGCTTGGGTCAAGTATACTGTATTTTTTCTATATAATGTATTGTCGAGGAAATTCAAACTATACTCGTAACATTTTTTTTCAGTGTGCAGTGTTGATTTTTAGTTTATCCTTTCTGCTTCATTTTCACTAGAATGTCGCGGTTATCGATTTTATGCACGCTTTAAAAATGACATATACCACTGATACTAAAAAGAATAGAGTTGATACTTTACAGTATCCTTGACCCAAGCGCCTATGCAAAACACATGCAGGCATTAGCAAGGTATAAAGGGAAGTGTGCAATGCACACATCAATGGTTTTTATGATGAAGTCCTTTTATAGGCCATGACTGCTGTGACGTCACTTAATGATCTGATTACCATTTTAACCATAAAGAAGTACCAAAGTGTTGCGGCATTTTTGTGCTAGTACGGCCTATTTCAAAGAAATTTGGTTTTGAATTTTTAATTGACTTTTAGAACAAGTGTTTGTGTTTATGTTCTTAGTGTGAGTTTCATTTCTTGTATGTAATTTTGTAACTTATTTTTTCCTGTTTGAGGTCATGGTGCGAATCAAAGGATGTGTTGCCGGAGGTTGTAGTGGAAGGAACGGTGCTAGATCTGCAAGTCTCCACCGTTTCCCATATAATCGGCCTGAGATTTTACGACAGTGGGTGAAATTCGTGCATCAAACTCGTAAGAGTTGGAGTGGGCCGACGAAATGCTCCATGCTGTGTTCCCTGCACTTCACGGAAGATTCGTTTCCATTTAAATACAGGTTCCTGGAATCGTGTGGAGAAACTGTGAAGCGAAAGTGCTTGCTACCGGATGCTGTTCCCACAAAGCGACTATCAACAACACCCAAACCTGGGTCGGGAACCTCTACGTGCAGTACCCCGAAGAAGCCTAGACGAGCCTTTTTGAAAAGAGAAGTTCAAAGAGTACGTAATTTTACATTATTATGCCCCCCTTCGAAGAAGGGAGGGCATATTGCTTTGCTGCTGTCTGTCGGTCGGTCGGTCTGTCGGTCTGTCGGTCCATTTAGTTTCCGTTCATTTTCTTCATAACCATTGCTCATACTGAAATGAAATTTGGTATACAGGTATATCACATGAATATCTAGGTCAAGTTCTGTTTTGGGTACGATCGCACCTTAATTGACAGAGTTATGCCCCTTGGACTTAGAAAAATTCCAGTTATTTGCAGTTTCCGTTCATTTTCTTTTAAGAGGTTGCACATATTGAAATAAAATTTGGTATACAGGTATATCACATGAATATCTAGGTCAAGTTCTGTTTTGGGTACGATCGCACCATAATTGACAGAGTTATGCCCCTTGGACTTAGAAAAATTCCATATGTTTGCAGTTTCCGTTCATTTTTAGCTCACCTGAGTCGAAGGCTCAAGTGAGCTTTTCTGATCACATTGTGTCCGTCGTCCGTCCGTCCGTCCGTCCAGCTGTCCGTCCGTCCGTAAACTTTTAACATTTTCGACTTCTTCTCAAGAACCACTGGGCCAATTTTGACCAAACTTGGTACAAAGCATCCTTGGGTAAAGGGGAATTTAAATTGTAAAAATAAAGGGACATGTCCCCTCGCAAGGGGAGATAATCAAGAAAAGACAAAAATAGGGTGAGGTCATTAAAAAATCTTCTTCTCAAGAACCACTGGGCCAGAAAAGCTGAAACTACCGGGGGGTAATGTGGAAGCATCCTGGAGTAATGTAGATTCTAAATTTTTCAAATCATAACCCCCGGGTATTGGGCGGGGCCACAATGGGGAATCAAAGTTTTACATAGAAATAAATAGGAAAAATCTTTGAAAATCTTCTTCTCAAGAACCACTGTGCCAGAAAAGCTGAAACTTATGTGGAAGCATCTTTGGATAGTGTAGATTCTAAATTGTTCATATCATAATCCCCGGGGATTGGGCGGGGCCACAATGGGGAATCAAAGTTTTACATAGAAATATATAGGAAACATCTTTGAAAATCTTCTTCTCAAGAACCACTGTGCCAGAAAAGCTGAAACTTATGTGGAAGCATCCTGGGGTAGTGTAGATTCTAAATTGTTCAAATCATAACCCCCAGGGATTGGGTGGGGCCACAATGGGGAATCAAAGTTTTACATAGAAATATATAGGAAACATCTTTGAAAATCTTCTTTTCAAGGACCACTGTGCCAGAAAAGCTGAAACTTATGTGGAAACATCCTGGGGTAGTGTAGATTCTAAATTGTTCAAATCATGATCCTCAAGGATTGGGCGGGGCCACAATGAGGAATCAAAGTTTTACATAGAAATATATAGGTGCACATATCTGATACTGGTCCCATGAATGTTACAAATATGTTCAAAAATAAAAGTTGTTTAATCAGAAACTTTGGGGTATATTTCTGTTGTTCTGACATCTAACTTTTAAAATCTTGAAAATCAGACCTAGAGTATTCATAGTTTTTGTTTGACAAAGGGTTGAAAATGCAACTTCACGTTTTCTTGTGTTCATAACAAGTGTCTTTCAGTTTGTGATAATGAATGAACAAAATTGTTATTCAATGTTAAAGATTCATTTTCTTCTCCTATATGTAATATGTAACAGTTTACAAACTAATTATTCAAATTTCAACTCCCTATTGTAACAATTCTGAAATGATTTACTTTAGACACCGTTATGAACAACATTATCGGTATAAGAAGTTTACAGTGAATAAATTTCCTTAAAGTCTCCTGCTGAACATGCACATCCTTACATACTGTGGTGTCATCCATGTATTTTATTGTAATGTTTTAAGCTTTTTACTGGTTAATGAAAATTTTATTGCAAAAAAATTACTCCATTTTATTGTTCATAACCAAGACACTTGAAGGCCGGAGTGGTAGTGATGTTTCCTTTATTC